TTATTTACTTTCTATCTATTTCTTTAATTTTTCGTTTATTCTTTTAGAATGGTCATTCCCGTATCCCTATTGGGTATTCTATATTATTGTGTAAGGAATGTAGACTCTAATACTATTTTTTCGCTTTTGCATTCAATTTATAATTTATTTTCTTTCAAGTTCCGGGCTGTTATAATTTTTGTGGGTAACAAAGTAACAATCAATTGTTTTCTTAAAGGCCATAAAAAAGTTCTTAAACTTAGCATAAAAATATATTCTGAAATACTCTTTTGATAATCCAACTCTTTAAGCATTGATATATTTAATTCACTAAACCTTTTGTGCATAATGAATAGAAAAATATTGGATCTTACAATATCATTTATTTAATTATTTTTAGTAAGAACTTGTTGACAAGTCATGAGCATTAATCTTTTCTTTTTTTTTTTTTTTCTAGAGAGAAGTTTGAAATCTTTAAAATAATTTATTTTCTTGTATATTCTATTTTTTAAATAGGAATTATTGAGATTATTTTATTGAAATCTTTGGATTTTATAAGAAAGATGGTAAATCTCTTGTATTTATTTTGAGGAAGGAAAACTCATATCAATTAATATTTATAAAATAGATTAACTAAAATAGTAAAAATATCAATTAAAGAGAAAATGAGAACACAAGAATAGTAGTTAGTTACATAAAATCAAGTTTGCATGCTCTCTCTTCTATGATCTTTTAACTTATATAGTATATAGCATATTACAAATTTTTGGATCAATTTTAGCTTGTTTAGTTAATTTGCTCTCCATTGCACTATTTCTTCCTTTTTTTTTTTTTTTTTTTTTTAATTTTGAAATACCAAATTCATCCCCTTATTGAGTGACCAAAACACTTGGCATAAAAATAGGGATTGGGTTGTTTCAAAATTGTTATAAAATCTCATAGTAATTTGTCCTTAATTATACCATGAATTGAATAGAGATAAGCAAAAGAAACAAAATCAAAACTCTATATTGGCCAACAATAATCCCCTCAAAAAGATCAAAACTTGTTGTCCAAAACCAACAAGAAGAAATAACATTCATTAAAGATACAAGGTATTAATTGATTGGTTAGCAAAAGCTCATTGTACAAACTAGAAAGAAAGGTAATTTATAACCATTTTTCCCATCATATATATATATATATGTATATGTATATGTATATATAGGCTTTGTTCGTGGATTCTTATGTAATATTAAATATTAATTTCATATATATTTCACCCTAAGGAGCTTTGTAGAACCCACATTAGCTTGTATCTCCATTGTTTGGAAAATTAGAGAACAATGTCATCCATACAAATGTATTTTATATTTATTGTATATAAAATAAAACTACATATGATTATTCTTTTTTTGAGGAAATAATAAACTATATGTTCTTTGTTCTAGCAATAATAATAATAATTGGGTGTGGTCATAACCTACCAACTAATTTTGAAGCTAACAGATTAGTTGGTAGAACATTTTGTTGATAAACCTAACTCCAAAAGGGATTTAAGGTTTATAATTAATAAAATTGTATGACTAATTAAATTTAGTTTGATTAATCAATTTAATTTGTCTCTTTTATAAGTCTTTTTGACTGTGAGTTGGTAGGTATAAATAGAGGGATATCATACATTATTTGGGCACAACACAGTTTTTAACTTGCATTATAAATATATCTTCATTGTACTCTTACCCACGTAAACATATCCCCACCTCATGCCAAAAATGAAGAAACTTGCATTATAAAAGTTAATATGTATAGTAGTGCATTGTTTTGAGCACAAGGCATAATTTTTTAACTTGCATTATAAATAAATATACATGCATGGATATACAGACATACAAACATAAATATTGACATCATAAAATGGTGAAATGTATGACTCTTTTCCCAAAGCTATACTTATTTTTAATTAAAAGTAGTTAATAAAAAATTATACTAAAAAATTAAAAATATGGTGCAATTATTATATTAACAGTCCAATTAGAAATTCTCTGTGTGACATTTGTCTAGCTAAAAGTTCTACTAAAACTGGAGTAGTCTATTAATTAAAAATTTTATTGAAATTAAAAATGATTATTAATTAATATCGTTATTTATTCACCAAAATTACTTATTGTACCAGGAAATTAAAGAACCAAAACCAGCTCATACAGAGGGTATATAAACTACTCTTTAAAAAAAAAAAAAAAAAAAGTTAAAAGTACATTGAAAAGTAATGTTACTTGTAAGATATTTTAATTTTTTATTTGAGATGTATTCTCTTCTTTTTCTAGATTTATTAATTTATTTTTAAGAATTTAAGAAAACATACAGTTAATAAAATAGTTACATGAATATTTAAGATCCAACCAACTAAATAATCTCATTTGTCATTATCATCACACATTTTTTTTAAATAATTAATAAACATATAATATTAAAAAAAAAATACATATATTTTTAAACAGACAAAAATATTATTAAAATATTTAAATTATTTTTTTCATAATTTTAATTTAATTTATAATTATTAATGCACATTAATACTGTTAACACGAAAGTATAAGTTTGATATGTGTTGCATTATAATTGGGTCAATAATTACCTCACATGTCATATATTTGATGATGAAATTTTTTTACTTTAAATAGGATTCTTTGGTTACAATTTGATTGTTTGGCTCTTCACCCTTTTGATCTTTTTTCATCTTCCACTAAGCCTTTTGAAAGCTCTATCAGAAAAACTCTAAGGGCATGACATTTCTCAAGCCAATCTCTGACTCTAGTTCCCCTCAAGCTGCAATTTGCTTTTAACGGAAACCTTCTTCCTCAACAACCTTTTCCTCCTCTAGGTACTGTATAGCTTTGGTGATTGGACTTTCAACAAATGTTTCTCAAATATAAACTTCTGTACCACATGCACCTAGTAGAGCATTGAAACACACATTTTTAGAACAAGTAATGGACAACTTAAACCTGATACAATCTCTAGATTCATCAAACACTCCATTGTATGGGGGGTGACTTCTTCATTTAATCTTCCTCCATACGACTCACTTTCTCCAATTTGTTTGCTACTCCACTGTGTTCTTTTACCACCATCATCAACCATTTCTACTCTTAATTCTTAATCTGCCTCTACCTCCATTTAATTTCATATCTACTTCGCCTTCCGTCCGCTGCAACTTTTGTCCAATTCCAATTCACTATTAGCCGAATCATATCCGATTGTATTTCTACTATTAATTGTGTATCTGTCGTTACTTCTTAACTTATTAAACACTAATTTAAATGTCAGAGTAAAAAGATTAAACTACGCTGAGTTAAAATTTATTTTTTAAAAAGCAATTTTATTAACAATAATTAAAATTAAATCTTTTACATGCAAGATTTTAAATTAATATATTAAACACGTGACATCCTAGGTATATATTGATTTAAATCCACAAAATACTTCCGCTAATAACATTATTAGTATATATTAATGATCAATAACTCCAATTCAAAAATTTTTAAAAAGCACAATATCTAAAATTGTAAAATATATATATATATATATATATTACAAAGATCATTTTGAATATTTTAAAATAGTATAAAATTAACTTAAATACTTTGGTCTCTTCAAACAGTATATAACAAAATAATATGTACAACATTTATTAATTTATTTGTAATTATAATAGTATAGTAGCTGTCATCATTCTTCTTTTCTCTATATAAAAATTAAGAAAATAAAAAATACACAATAAATACATATAACTATATAAAATTTAAAATGTAACCATTAAATAATGCCATCTAAATTCATAACCAGTTATTTCTTTTAATAATAATAAAATTTTACTATCTTAATTATGAAGAGACAATTCTTTGAAACGATGTATAGAAAATTGATTTGTGTACTATTTATACCTTTTTATATTTTTTTATAAGATGTCAATTGTCAATGTTTTTTGTTTACAAGAATTCTTTTCTCTACTTACATATAAAAATAGAAGATACAGATGGTTTAGTCCACTTCTTAACATTATTTAAAAAATAACAATGAACCTCCGTTACGCCATGCAAAAAGGATTTTCAAACCATGCTAACCACACCTTTAAAACGTTTTCCATTACAAATATCTTCCTTGATTTTGTCTGACAAAAGTTTTGACCTTGTGTGATTCAAATCTCTACTATAACAACCTTTTATCTTTCTGAAGAAAGCATCCAATAATCAGCAGTATATTTTTGTGTGTGTCACAGAATTCTTAAAAGGAGGCTGCACTACAATTTACCTATGCTTAACAAAGATAGGGGGTGGAAATTACCCGAAAAAGGCAGGCTACTCTATTCTGTATTTTGACTATCGATTTGACCTAAAGCAAAATGCTCCG